CAAGTAAGGGAAACTGGAACCCTTGTGGCTTCACAACCGGTTTCCTACTGCGCATGTGGAAGTCGTTCTGCACCTTGTGAATGGTCCTGTAATCTTCTGGGCAGAAGACTGCGGGGGGAAGGCGGGGGCTAAAGTGAGCCGAAAGTGGGAGCAGATACCTGTCAAAACCAGGTACCCGCTAACCCCAAAAAGTGCCAAATGTGGCAAAGGAGGGGGGAGGCAAACAAGCTAAGCTACCCCTTTTGGGTGGAGCTCCGTTTTAAAATTCAACCTCTTGATTGAAGATTCGGCACGGGTGAGGACATTGCTGGATTCCTGAACAGGTAAGTGTCCTTATATTAAAGTCAGCAGCTACAGGATTTGTTGCTGCTGCCTTAATTTTGTGGGGGGAACCTGAAGCTCCTTTTAGTACTTTAAATGTGTGGCATCTTCTGAAAGTAAAATTACAAACTTTAAGATCCTTCAGATTAATAGGAGTAGGCTAAAAATAATTGAAATACAATGCAGAAATTAATATATGATTTTACTTTTCAATCACAGATAGGTGTGAACTCCGTCTAGTCTGGGCTTTTTGATATATTGCTACATATGCATTAAATACACAACTACATACAGCTGAGAAACACAAACAATAATTACATTGTACAGCACGTTTGCCAATAAGGCAGGCATGTCCAAAGTCCGGCCCGCGGGCCATTTACGGCCTGGGGGTCGGTTTAATACGGCCCTCCAACAGCCCTCCCTGCTCTGTGTAATGTGGCCCTCCGACGGCCCTCCCTTCTATGGCAGTCTTCTGCTTGAGAGCAGAGGGCAGTGCGCATGCCTGACTGCAGCGCATTCTCCCTGGTCTGTGTAAATGCGGCTGTCGCACGGCCCTCCCTTCTGTGGCAGACAGTCTTCTGCCCGAGAGCAGTGCGCATGCGTGACTGCGCCGCGCTGGGAGCGACAGAGGGCGGTGACGTCAGGGCCGGGCTTCCAGCGTGAAGTGTGTTTCTCTTCCCCTCCCGGCTGCCGAGCAGAGACTTCAGCTCCAGCTACCTTTTTCACCCTTCACATTAGTGCAGGTAAGTTTTTTTTAAATTTATTTTCAATACATTGTGAAAACTCAGCGGTCAGTTGATCTTACTGTTATGAAATGAAAAGTATGTCGTTTGCAATTAACTTGGCATAAAATAATTTATTTGCATTTAATTGTAATGGTTCAAAGAATGTTCGGAAAAATGTTCGGCCCTCCACCATGTTCACTTTATCCAACCTGGCCCTCTTTGAAAAAAGTTTGGACACCCCTGCAATAAGGGAACACACAAGGGCTATATCTGCACAAAGTCGGCTAACATTTCAGCATGTATTACAAAACAGTTATTTAAGTCACACACTTTATATTAAAATGGAACCTATATATGCATTGGGATGTTAGACACGATTATTTGTTTTTTAAAATGTTAGCTGTCCCAGAGATCTGCTCAGTAAAGACCAGTAATCTTCTGCTTTCATCCCACCTACAATTCAGTAAGTACCACATTAAACTGGATGATATGGCAATTGGTTATAGCACTGGCATTTTGTAAAAGCATTGCAACTGCACATAAACTATTTAATCAAGCACTACATAATTTATGATTAAAGTGTACGTTTAATACGCAATAAAGAAATTATTCATTTATGCTGTACAGTTTTTTTACATGGCCAAACATTTTCTATTGCACTCAAGTGGAAAAGAAATACTTTAACCCAGGATTTGTAACAAGGAAACAGGATAAATCATGTCTGATCTTTCAGTTTACATGTATTAAATTCACTAAGTTGTACGAGTTAAAGCGTAACTATGCTCAAAATGTAAAATCATAAATTCTTATCCACATTGTATTTCCATTATTTCCAGCCTACTCCTTTTAAATCGGAACAATACTGTCATTTGTGAACTTATTTTATGAGGATCTTCACACATTTAAAGTGATTGTAAACATTGTGGGGTTTTTTTGTTTTGTTTTTTTTTTAATACCAAACAGGTTTATACCTACCTGCTCTGTGCAATGGGAATTGCATAGATCAGCCCTAAACCTCCTCTTCTTGGGTCTCCCCGCTAGCGCGTCAGGCTCCTCCTCTTCTCTGTGTGCCCTTACAGCAGTGTTTCTCAACTCCAGTCCTCATGGACCCCCAACAGGTCATGTTTTCAGGATTTCCCTCAGATGAAACAGCTGTGGTAATTACTAAGGCAGTGAAACTGATCACCTGTGCAAAATAATGGAAATCCTGAAAACATGACCTGTTGGGGGTCCATGAGGACTGGAGTTGAGAAACACTGCCTTACAGCAAGCTGCTTGCTATGAAGGCACACCTATAGGCTCAGACAGCATGGCTCAGCTCTGCCACTGGCTCCCTCGCCACAAGATTTGACAGACAGCAGCAGGAACCAATGGCTCCAGCTGCCTCAGCAAAGCCTGGGAGAGGAAACACTGGGGAGCCAATGAGGTGAGCTACATGCAAATTTAAATGTATTTTATTTTATTTAAATTTAAAGTAATGTGCTAAAAGGAGGAAACCGCAGAATGAGCATAGGGATGACTTCATCAGTTTGTTTCTATTCCACCAAATAGGTGGCTTGGCTGTGATGCTTAACTGCAATAGCGAAAAGGCAGGTCACCAACCAGCCACTGCTGTATAAATCATAGGTCTAAATGGCAGTAAATACACATTATTTGGCAAATAATTTGCTCCCATATACAGTATATGTATTTCAAATGAGTATTAGGCAATCTTCCTAGAATTAAAGGCAAAAAAAAAAGGCATATATGCTGCATTCTAACACTATTATTTTAGTTTTGGATACAGTAGGGAGGGGCTGGAATTCTTGTTGGGTTTTAATGTTATCCAGGGTTCTCAGAGAGAGGTTTGTTTTCTTAAAACTTTTTTTTTTTAGTTTTTGATAGCGTGCAGAAGGATTAGAACACCTGACCATTTTTATTGCTGTCCGTGCTCCCTTTAACCACTTACCCTCCAGAGGATTTACCCCCCTTCCTGACCGGGCCATTTTTTGCATTACGGCGCTGCGTTACTTTAACGGACAATTGCGCAGTCATGCAATGCTGCACCCAAATGATATTTACGTCCTTTTTTCCCCATGAATAGAGCTTTCTTTTGGTGTTATTTGATCGCCTGTGCAATTTTTATTTTATTGCTCTATAAAAAAAAAGCGACAATTTTGAGAAAAGAAAAACTATTTTTTTTTACTTTTTGCTATTAAACCTGTCCAGTAAAAAAAAAAAAAATCAAATTTAGTTATAAATTTAGGCCAAAATGTATTCTGCTCCATGTCTTAGCTAAAAAAAAATCCCAATACGTGTAAATTGGTTTATGTGAAAGTTATAGCTTTACAAATGGCGGTATAGATACTGGGATTTTTTTTTTATTTTTAATTTTTACTAGTAAATGGCGGCGATCAGCGACTTATAGCGGGACTGTGGCGGGCATTCTGGCACTGGAGGGAACTGACTTTCCCAGTGGCACAGTAGCACAGTGATCAATGCTAATAAAAAGAATGGACACTGTACTAATGGCACTTGGCAGGAAGGGGTTAATATGTGGGGTGATCAAATGGTTGACTGTGTGCTATGTGTGTTTTACTGTGGGGCTATGTACGTGTGCTTCACTGTAAGCACACTGCTTTGCATGGCTGTGCTATGCACAGCCATACAAAGCAGTGTGCAGGAGCTGAGCAATAGGAGGAGGGAGGGAGAGGAGTGTCATTTACCATGGTATATAAGCCCACATGTGTGACTCTATACTCATGTTGGCTGCACAGATAAAAAAAAGGAGGAAATTAAGAGTTTAGAAGGGAAATGAACTATGGGTGTGTTCACTAGATGTTGCAACAGCTGATCTACACAATCTCAGGCTGCAGTGGGGACACAGAAGATGGGAGAGGCAGCTGAAAGCAGGATCAGCCAGGTATATTTCACTCTACACAAAAGGAATGCTTTATTGACTTTGAGTATGCACTCAGAGTTTTTCACAGTCTGGGTTTAATAACGAGAAAAGAGAGAAGAAAAAAAAAAAAAGAAAAAAATTTCAAAGCTCCAGCTGCCTTAATAAATTACAACAACATGGATTCTCTTTATAGACAGTTTGTAAATATCAGACAATTTACAAGCTGTCCATAAATGTCCATTAAGGACAGTGGCCGCCTTTTAAAAAAAAAAAAAAAAAAAGGCCTCAGGCTGGCTACGGAACTGCGCATGAACAGTTCTGAAGCCACCTGGCTGGACTCAACTGCACTCAGTCGGGGGGCGGGCCGAATGTGCAGCCAGTTATATGAAGGGTGGTTATCTGCACCTTTTACAAATAACTTCGCAAAACTGGAGGGGGCATAGTCAAGCACGTCATAAAAGCAAATATGCATTTGGATCTGCTTCACCAGAGCTGCCGTCCTGCTACCGATGCTCTCCCTGGCCACAACAGAGGTTCTGCTCCATCCTCTGCCAATCTGCCTCTGCCTGACTGATGTGCCCTCCAGTGCAGTCTATGAGCTGAAAGAATGACATCAAAGCAGAAGCACGGTGCCGGCTCAGCACTGACAGAGGACACACACCACAACACTGACAAGAGGGACACAGACACAGTGAGTAAACAGGGCAAGGTCTGCTAAACTAGTCTCTGACCATCCCTTGTATTATGTCCACAGTCTCTGATCATCACTTGTACCATGTCCACAGTCTCTTACTATCCTTTGTGCCATGTCTACAGTCTCTGCCATCCCTTGTGCCATGTCCGCAGTCCTTACCATCCTTTGTGCCATGTCTACAGTCCGCCATCCCTTGTGCTCATGTCCACAGTCTCTTACCATCCTTTGTGCCATGTCTACAGTCTCTGCCATCCCTTGTGCCATGTCCACATCTTCCACAGTCATGTCTACAGTCTCTGCCATCCCTTATGCCATGTCCGCAGTCTCTTACCATCCTTTGTGCCATCCTTCCCTTATGTGCCATGTCTTACAGTCTCTCTGCCATCCCTTGTGCCATGTCCGCAGTTTCTTATCTCTTCTGATATGTCCGCAGTCTCTTATCATCCCTTGTGCCATATCCACAGTCTCTGATCATCTCTTGTGCTATGTATGCAGTCCCTAATCATCTCTTGTGTGATGTATGCAGTCTATGATCATCCCTTGTGCCATGTCTGCAGTCATTGACCGTCTCCTGTAGTATGTCTGCAGTCTCTGACCATCTCTTGTAGCATGTCTGCAGTCTCTGTGGACTGTGATGTAAGGGGGAGCTCTGTGGACTCTTGTGTAAGGAGGGGGCTGTGGTGACCAGAGACCCTCTTACAACAGTGTTTCTCTTTACATCAGAGTCTGCAGCAGTACCCCTTACATCAGAGTCCACAATGTTCCCCTTTACGTCACAGTCCACAGAGTTCCCCCTTACACTGTAAAAGAGAACACTGTGTAGGGTTATATTAACCTGACCTTCATGTAAATGGAGAAAAAAGTTTTTTGCCTATTGTTATACTTTAAACACATTGCTAATAGCACTAGCATGGTTGTAGCTTAACCTCTTGGCGCCGGCACCTCCCGGCCCTTTAAGGGCTTCAGAAGCCGGGAGGCGGGCAAGGTTTTTGGGTAATGTGACCGTGATTCGCTGTCACATGATCGGGGAAGAGGAGATCGGGACCTTTCCGTGAGTACCGGACATGTGTGCTGGGAGCGCGCACTCCCAGCACGTTTTTTCTAATTGTACGCAAATGTGCGTCCACTCGGCATCAAGGCCCATACACCGAGAGGCCGCACATTTGCGTGCGCTCGGCGTGAAGGGGTTAAATTTAGATATTTGCAATGTTTTGCACTGAAAACCGCCATTTTATCTACTTTTTTTTTTTTTTTTTTTTTTTTTTTTAAGTGTCAGTACAAATGTGTGTCAGTAAATTGCATGATTTTTGTCAGTAAAAAAATGGTGTTGTTTGTAAATTTTGGGCGTCCTGTCAGTAAACTTCACTTCAGGGGGCTGGCAACACTGGGTGTCCAACCTTTTGACTTTCCTGGGCCACTCTGGAAGAATAGGCATTGTCTCAGGCCACACAAAAAATACACTAATAATAAGTATAGCTGATGAACAGAAAAAGCTGGGCAGATCAACAGTTAATGATCACTGATATAGATAATGTACCTATTTGAGTAATAAAAATAATTTTTTTTGTAATATTTTTATTATAAAATTAAAAGAGGGCAACAAAAAACTAGTGTGACATTTGACACTATTTTTTTTTATAAACTAACGAATCAGTATCTGGTTCAATGGATACAGTAGCAATTCTCAATGAATTCTCAAGGTGCTTATCAGATATTTTGGTTCTAATTTTGCCCTTCATGTGCTTCATCCTTGAAAACAGTCGCTCACAAACATAGGTACTGCCGAAGACTGATGACATGAAAAAGGCATAATTGTGAAGAGTGGGTAATTTTTCTTTGGGGAGATAAAAATTACAAAAGTCCAGTAAAGAGGCAATGTCAAATTTTTCTTCAGCTGCATGTGTTTGCTAACAGTAAATGTATTTTTGCCAACAATTAAAAAAAAATAAAATCAACATTTTAGGTACATTTACGATTTTGTGTTCATAGCTGTCTTGGGCTGCATGCGGCCTGTGGGCCACAGGTTGGACATCCCTGGTTTAAACCATATAAATGAAAGATAACTGTGGTAAACCTCAACTCCCACTCAGTATTGTATAGTCTGTTCCAACCCCTGTAACAGCCACTTTTCAAAGACAGCTTGGTGTATATGTAAATGAAAAGAAATGGCATGTGAACAAAATCCATATATTGTAATATTAGTATTACAGGCATTAACCTCATATAGTTTCCAAATGAAAATATTTTCCTCTATAGTGGGTCTATGCCTCAGCATGGTAAAACAGCACTTCAAAATGTCTTAATGAATCAGTCAATATGTATTTAAAAAGGAATAGATTAGCAAGTCATCCAGGCAAAAAACGCTTTAGCCTAGATAGTGTTGATTTGCATGAGTGCATATACAATAATGGTCATTTTAGATTTTAATCCATGATGCACTCATTTTTCTTAAAGGCACCACTCAGTAATGTTTAGCATCTAAATTTAATGACTTACAAAACGCTTTACAACCAACATGCTTACTCTTGTCCTAATTTGATCCCTTTCCATTATATATTTTTTACCTTTTTCATTCATACTAACAGCTACAGATCAATAACTGGGTATGCAAATGCTTACAATGAACAAACCTTACTTGTTCCCCTTTTTCCTGTTAAATATACAATTGAAAGTGTTTAGCTGTATCTGTTTGTTAAAGTGTTACTAAACCCAAGGACCTACATTCACTATATCTGGTCTACCACAGTACACAAAAGTGCAATTATTAGTAAATATAAACTGATAAATACCCTTTTGCATCAGCAGTTAGAGCAGTGTTGTGACTTCTATCAGTGTCCAGCCCAGCACTAGCTAAAGCTTGTAGGAGGAGCTTTTTTTCTGCTCTAGGAGGATGGAAATCCCGACCTCTAGACAGTGCTAATTGGCGCTGTGCTGATCACATGCACTCTCCGAAGAAAACAAAAATCTCTCTAGCAATATACACCAAACTGAGCATGTGCATGCCTACGGTTCAGTCTGGAGATAAGTTGTGGTCGCTTGAATAAGGCAAGGAACAGAGAAGAAAGGTTCAAACATCCTTTTTACACAATGCAGAGGATTAACCCCTTAGGTTCCACAGTGAGTATAACAAGCATGCTTTACTGTATATACAGACTGATTGTACTGTTGTGGATTTAGTAACACTAAGTGCAAAAAAAAAAAAAAATACTGCTTATTTGGCCAGAAATCCAGTGAGTTTCTAATTTTCTGTAGTAGGTGGTGCATGCTTTGCTGAAATTTCAAACATTTGTATCAGACCTGCATATGTTCTCTATGGATTTCAGTGCATCCCCCCCTATGCTATGGAAAAAAGAAGGTGATATTGCTTTTTTACAGTCCTGCCCTAGGGTGACAATACAACTTCTCAATATATACAGTACAGTAAGTGTGCGTTGTCACCCTAGCACAGGAAGTGTGTTACTGGCAGTATCATAAGGTCCTACATCTAAAACAATGGTAAGTTGCAATATATTAAATTCTTGTTCTTGACTTTAGATATGCTTCATGTCCTGCCTTCATACAGTATGTCTTTATTTAGCCATAGCTGCACTTATTGTGAGACGTTCACTTTGTAGCTTGAAACTGGGTCATTCTAGCCATAAGATGTTATGGTGTATTTTAATCAATTCTATTTTTACCTGGATATAAATACGTTATATATAAAAATACATTTTTTATAATTTTTTTACATCTATTTTATTTATAATAGGAATTTAATGGTATGTGCATGTGTGGTTCAGCAGTGAATGAGACTCCAAAACTAAAACCCATTTCTGCCTTATAGTGGCAACTTTAAACTAAAACAATAAGGAGCAGCACAAGGTATAACTGCTGTTCTGCAAGAACATATCCCATGTACAAGCAATGGCACTCAGAGCAATATCAGCAGGAATCAGCTGGGAAAAGCAGTAAGTAAGAGAGAGCCAGGAAGAATAAACAAGGTCAGAGCAGTTGGGAAGAAGAGTCTGAAAACTAAAGATATATAAAAAGAATGAAGGTGGATGTGCAGCCAAAAGAAAACGTTCCTGTCACAGACACCATTATACTGTCATGGCTCACTGTTATTTATGACCATCATTAAAATAGATACAGTGTAAATGCAGAATTATACATTCTATATGAACCGGTCATAAACTGTGAAAACTTCTTTGAGGAATGATCTCACCTCTGAAAAGATTAAAGAATATGAGGTGAAAGGTACAAGGGATAAATATGATCCTGTGAATAAAAATGCCAAGACTTGTATATTGTCTGATTTAGAATAGAGTCTCATGTTCTACTCTGTGGCCCTAACATTACGATCATAAATTCAAATTCTTTAAAAGTTAGCTCTAAACTGACAATCCAGCAATATTTCCCAATGCTACAAACTTTAGCTTGCTAGTCCATTTTTTTGGAACAGGGAAAGAATGGGCTGGTGGAAAGACGCTGCTGGAAAGTGAATGAAACTTTTAATGCAGGGACACATTTCCACATGCGAATAGCTCAGGCCTTTGCCTAATGCAACTGGGCTACCAGGCAGGGGAGAACAAGGGGGGCAGTGTGTTGAGGGTGGGTGCTGCTAAATCAGGCACTTGTTCCACACCTTACTGACAGGAGTGACTGCAGTGTCAATCCTGTCAGAAGGAGCAGAATTAGGTTTCTCCTCCCTCCAGACTATATGGGGAGGAAAAGAGCCAGGGTTGAGACACAGAACTGTCCTTAGTCTCAGTGCAGTGCAGCTGAGAAACAAAGGAAGACTGCATCTTTATTTCTCTCTCCCACTGTCATGTGACATGTCACGTGACTGGAGAAAAAGAAAGGCATGCTGTGAGTACTGATCTGCCTGTACAAGGGATAAGGGGTGGGGGGCAACAACTCGGAAGCGTGGGGACATCTGGTGTAAAGGGGAACTCAACTGGGGACACCTGATGTAAAAGGGACACTACTGGGGACACCTAATGTAAAGGGGGACTCCACTGGAGACACTCAATGTAAAGGGGGACTCCACTGGAGACACTCAATGTAAAGGGGGACACTTGATGTAAAGGGGGGCACTATTGGGGACATTTGATGTAGAGGAGGGGCACTATTGGGGACACTTGATGTAAAGGGGGGCACTATTGGGGACACGATGTAAAGGGGGGCACTATTGGGGACACGATGTAAAGGGGGGCACTATTGGGGACACGATGTAAAGGGGGGACACGATGTAAAGGGGGGCACTATTGGGGACACGATGTAAAGGGGGGCACTATTGGGGACACGATGTAAAGGGGGCACTATTGGGGACACGATGTAAAGGGGGCACTATTGGGGACACGATGTAAAGGGGGCACTATTGGGGACACTTGATGCAAAGGGGGGCTCTATCGGGTGCACCTGATGCAAAGGGAGACTCTATTGAGGACACCTGATGTAAAGGGAATTCTACTGATGATGCCACCTGGGGGGAGGGGCACAAGTCATCATCTTCACCCTAGAAGCTGGATGACCTTGTCCTGGCACTGCTTCCAGGGGTAGTATATGATTACCAACACATAATTTTGCTGACAGCAACACAATCTTGTGTAATAAGAGCTTTTGGACTAACACACTGTCTATAGGGAAATTCTGCTGGATCCTCATTGCTTTGGTCCCTGCATTTTTTGTTTGTTGTAGAATGTACTGATGAAGTTACCCACCTTTAGTCCTGAACAGCTAGCAGAGCAGGGTAACTATGCGCCT